GGGTGGGGGATAGGGGTCGGGGGTTATTGGTTCCTAGCTTTGGCTCTTTAGAGCAAGACAGGCCTGGGTCCTATTAACAGCTGTTCAGGCTTATATCACCACTGTGCCTGTTTTCCTCATCTATACCAAGGGTTTAATGAAGTCTCTGTGGGCTGATTGGGAAGTTAGGGAAGCTGTTCAAGGGAGCTCGACCACTAAGATCAGTCCATCCTCCCAGCCTAGGAGCCTGTGGATGGGTCTCCGGTTGCAGGGGAGGGGCCCCAGGTCACCTGCTGGAAGAGGCTGAAACTTCCCACCCTGTCTTAATCCTTAGACTTCCTGCCAGACCCGCTCTGAAGACGGAGTGGGCCTTGAGGGCCAATAAGACCTAGAAAAAACGTGACCCAAGGTCAAGCAGGGACTCAGGGGCCCAGAGGTCCTAAGCCCAGATCCTAAGACCTGGGACCAGGCCAGACCAGCAGCCTGATTGAAGAGAGGGCTGGAAAGTGAACCCAGAGGGCTTTGTGACTTAGGGTAAGGGACAGGAAAGGCAGGGGAGAGGGAATAGGTTCCTCTAGGATGGATTGACATAAACCAGTATTAATCCAAGTATCTAAAAGTGAGGAGGGATGTTAAAGGCCAGTCAGGGAGCCTCAGCAAGGTCTGGACCCCTGGCCACCCTGGGCTGCCTTGCTGATGCCAGCCTGGCTGGCAGCTCTCCCAACCAGTTGAGTCAGTGACAGCTTTGGGCAGGGAAGAGGGTATCCGGGCCAAGAAATGCCAGAGGCACATGTCCCCAGGGCTCTGCTTGGACATGCAGTTCTTTTTGTTCCTCTCCAGATGGCTGCTGGAAAATTACCCAGAATAGGGTACCCAGGAGCTGCTGGGCTGCAAACCACCTCTGCCACACAGAGTCCACCAGGTTAGGAAATTAGGAGTTTTAACTCTCCCTCCTGAGTGAAAACTCTCCGAGGTTTCAGTACCAAAATGTTAGGAATTTTGGAATTTTAATTCTCTCCCAGGTAAATGTTAGAAGTTGAGAGTTGCAGGTAGGAAAGAAAAATAACCAACCTCATAGAATCCATAATGGTCTTTACTAGTTCATGACGGGTGACTACTGACCAGTGGGAGTCTGCAGTAGCCACACTGGCCAAATGGCAGGGGAGCTTAAGTTCTTCTGTGTAGGCACACAACCTTGGGGTTGGGAAGAGAATTTTCAAGTCCTTCATTCTTTCCCTATAGGTTAGGGTATCTGGAGGGCTTTTTTGCAGAACCTTATGGTTGGGTCTGTGGGGGTCCTGGACAGGCGTGTTTGCAAAGCAAGGATTACTTTATGCTTTTGGGTTAATGAAAGTCTCTACAACCAGAGAGAACAGGGGAAGCAAAACTGGCTTCTCAGCCACCCCCTCATCCCCCTCATGCTGTCCCACACCCTGAGAAGACTCCCAGAAGTTTGACGAGTTCCAAAAAAACGAAAAGCCTGACCGGGGGGTTGGGGGGGGTTGTTCTTCAGAGTAGGATAGTTTGTGTGTGGCCTGGGATCAATGATTTTCCAGTCAAGTCCTAGGGTTTTCACTGAGGAGCAGCAGTCAGGGTGTTTGGAGTCATCGCTATAGATGTACCCTATTATGGAACTGAGTTTGCCACATATGTAAAGAGCATAGCTCAATAAATACACGTTTCACTGCTCAGGGCCTGGGGGAAGGGAGGGGAAGGCAGGGTCAAAGACCTGTAGTCTAGACTGGAAAAGCCCCCTTGTGGAGCTTAACATAAAGTTGTGGGAGTCTACTACCAACACAAATCTTTACTTCATGGGGTGAATTATCAGTTATCTCCACCAAGGAGAAGGTAAGGAAGGCCTGTCAAACATCCTGGGTTCTTCAGAGTAAACTGATGGTTTCTGCCTCAAACACCCCAGACCTCTAACCAAACAAAAATGTCACCACCCCCCCACCCCCCACCCCCGTCCCGCCCCTTGCTGGGGCCTCAGAAGACTGTGGGCAAGGATCTGAGTATGAGTCTGTCTGGGGGTGAGCCTGGGAGCGGGAGTCGCACCTAGCCCACACCGGCAAGTCCCAGTCATGGAGCATGCTTGTGGCATACTGTCCCCAGTCATGGAACATGCTTGTGGCATACGAATGTTTTTCTTGTATTAGCTCGTTCATTCCTCCCAACAGCCTCAGGAAGATGTACCTATTCCCACCCCACTCCACAGATGAGGAAACTGAGGCAGAAGGCAAACCCAGCACTGCCCTAGCTGGTCCCTCGCGCGCACGCGGGACAGTTGCAGAGTGGGGTAGTTGGTGCCGGGGACCCGGGAGTCCCGCGCAGGATGGCAGGCTCCTCCCGCGGGCCTCCGCAGCCAATGGGCGAGGGGCCCTGAGTGGGGTGACGCGACGTCAGCGCGCGCTCAAGGGAATTGGGCCTGGGTCACGTGCGCCGTGCAGGCTCGACCTGGGGGCAGGGCGGCCTGACCTGCGGCACCCACTGGTTGGGCGTGGCGGAATGGGACTTCGCGGGCACAGCTGGGGTTCGGGGCCGGTTCCCACCCTCTGAGTCCGGAGGCACTGCTGGGATCTGTCCAGACGTGCCCCGGAGCTCGGCGCTGCGTGGATGGGCAGGCCCTGGGCAGGAGGCTGAGAGCCAGCTGCTGAGAGCCTCCAGGGCTGCCTGGCATGACTGCAGGAGCTGAGCTTGGGTGAAGACAGAGACAGCCAGACAGTGGGAGCAGACGGTTTAGAGTCCAGAGAGGCCTTTTAGCCTCCCTACCGCACTTGAGTCAGACGACTGACGACGTGGAGGATTCTGGCCCTAGACCCTGATCTCATTAGTCAACATCTGTTGTGAGCTGTCCAGGAAATGTCGGGCCCTCCCTGATCCTCCATGTTTCACTCAACGAGACTCCCTGTGGTGGTTGCTTGGGGCTCCACAAATGTGCTAGTTGATCCCAAAACCTGCTGCACAGTGAGCAGTGAAGCTTACGGATGGAGAACAGGGACGGGAGATGCTGGCTATTGGGAGAAGCCAACTGCAGGTTGGAGCCCCAGTCAGTTGATGGATGGCAAGGAGCCCGGACTCCAGGTGTGTCACCTGACACCCACTAGCCAAGTCTAGCTCTAAGGGAGTTATTGTTGGAATCCAGGCCCCCACTACTTGCCCTTTCACCACAAACCCCAGAGCAGATCCTAGTGGAAGGAAGCGCCTTCATTCAAGACCCACCTCGAAGGAGACTGTACATGGTCTCTCAGGGTTTTCAGAGGCAGCTTTTATACAGGAAAAGGAGTGTGGGAGGAACACAGGTGGGTAGTCCAGGGTGCTAGGTGGGGTCTTTGTTTTCCAGGCCCTGTGCCTCCCAGTTCTCTGGTTGCTGCATTGACTTTGACTTCTTAGAGAACTAAGGAGGGCCTTGTCCAGGCCAGCAGATGTTCTGGGTTATGACAGCCAGGCAGTGCCATATGCCCGCAGTCTTGGCAATCAAGAGGCCTGTGAGTTTGAAGCCAGCCTGGGCAGCTACCATCTCTTAAGGCTCAGTTGGGACTTCCTTTAGAATTTAGAATGTTAGGCAGAAAGGAGGGGATGCAATACTTGTTAAGGAATTGGGGAGGCTCCAAGGGAAGGGATGGGGGAGCAAGGGACAAGTCAAAAGAACCTGCTGTAAGGATTATACCAGATTAAAACATAGAAAGTTTCACCTGAATGTTGGATTGCTGGCTTTTTTGGAAACCAGGACTATGAAATACTACCAGGCCTGACAACTGGCTATTTCAGCCAGGCTGTGGGATGCCTTTCTCTCTCTTCAACCTTCCCAGGGATAACTCCAGCCCGCCCATTCAACTCAATAGGATGAAAAGACCCCCATGGGTCACCCACAACCCCATTTCACAGATAGGAAAGGGCCATAGGGCACAGTGGCTTTCAGGGTTCTCTGGTGCATCCTGCAGCCCCAGGGGTGCTGCATTGACTATGGATGTGGATGAGAGAGAAGACAGCCCCAGACGAGTCTACTGAACTTCTAAAGTCGTCCAGCTCCCCAGAGCTGCGAGCAGAGGCTTGGCTTACTGGAATGCTGAGGGTCTGGACTTGAATGCCTGGACAGAATCCTCTGGGAGCCATGAAAGAGCACCCCAGGCGCTCTCCTGAATATGGAGGCACTTTGTAGTGTCATGCCTGTCCCAAGTCTCTGGTTCTAGCTATGCCCAAGACCCAGAAGAGATGCATTTCTTGGGATGTTAAGTGGATGGTGAAGACTCCTTCCCCCTTAGGAGCTTCAGTAGAGACTGGTGGGTGGGGCCATCATCAAGACAGGGTTCCAGCACAGCTCCTCTTAGGGCCAGTGACATGAGGGGGAAGTGCTGAGGCCTGAGAACGATACACAGAGAATAGAAGTTTGCTTCTGGCCACCTGTGACCCCAGGCTCTTTTCCACCCATCCATGTTGTAGGTCTTGTGCAGATGTTACCATTCCTCTACTAACAGCCAGGATATTCAGGGTGAGTTCTTGGCCTTTTGTGGAAACTGTTGGAAAAGATACCACCTGGAGCTACAGGCAGCCTGCACTCTATTACAGAGGAGCTAGGCCTGAGGAAGCTGAGTCAAGACACACAAAGAACAAGTACCTCAAGTAATCCATCAGCACCTCCATCCAGCTGTTCCTGAGGGTTATTCCTCTGATTATCCAATTTCTGCTACAACCAAAAAGGTCAAAATCCGCCCCCACACACACCCCTCTTCTTTTGAGACAAGGTCTTACTATGTAGCCCTGGCTGGCCTGGAAGTCATTATATAGACCAAACTAGCCTTGAACTCACAAAGATTTACCTGCCTCCGCTAGGATCAAAGGTGTGCACCACCATGCCTGGCCAAATAATGCCCTTTAAGTGAGGAGTTTTGGCCACAGGCTGCCATCTTGGACAGAGAGGTGCTGGTATTATTATTCTCCATCATTTCTTGCATATTTTTCACACAGAATTCCTACTTCACAGGAACAGCTACTAATCCATTGGGGATATGAACTTTGGCAAGTGCCCACTAGGGGTGGCAAGGTCCCTCCCAGTCCCTGCTGTGACTTTCAGCCACAGCAGAACTTCATGACCACACTGCCCTCTCTTATTTCTGGCTTACCCCACAGCACCAGAGCCTCTCTCCCTACAGGCCATGGAATAGTATTCCAACACTCAGCAGAGGGTCATTGGTTCTGGGAATCCAGCCAGGCTTCAAGCTCCCCAGGGCAGAGCGTGAACAGTTTTCCCCTTACTCTTGTACCAACCCAGCACTGGCAGGCCGGGGAACAGGCTCAAAGTCCAAGTGGACCAGGGCCTTATAAGTTCAGAACAGGAACCACCTGCTCTTTGCAAGGTAGCAAATGAGATTCTGGCCTCTCAGTGCCACAGCCCTTAACACAGAGCTAGGGATAGAGAACAGACTCAGTTCATGTCTGCTCAAAAGGACCTGGGTTGTGAGCCTCCCTCACTTTAAAAGCAGTCCTCTGTGCTTCCCTTTGGAGGGCCTACAATTCATCCCAGCTAGCCAGAAACAGGCAGGGCCTCAGCAGAACTCCCTGGAGGGAGCTCAGGGTAGCAGTGGGTCCCAGGGAGCTGGGTGCTGACACTCTGCCCTGGGTGATTGTTGGGGCCCCAAAGAGGGCCTTGCCATGGACCCTCTCTCTCCTATTGGCCTGTGCCTACTGGGCCTTCATCTACTGCCCCTTCACAGCCCTTGTCCAGGAGGCTTGAGTCTGAGTCCAAGTGCCAGTTGTCACTCTGTACCCAAAGGCAAGTTTGTGACTTCCTGGCTGAAGGGCCGGCAGATGTTAGCTAGGGTCACACTACTTTGATATGCCTACCATACTTGAGGTCTGTCTTCAATTTCAAGAGGTGAAGTGTCTAAAGGGCTTCAAGCCCCTGAGCCACTAAGAGGAGACATAAGTACCCTGGCTCCTCTCAGGCCCCTCTTCTTGCAGTTGGCAGAGACCAGTTCCCAAAGGACAGAATAAGTACCCAAGGGTCCTCAGACAGTAGGAGAGCCTCATAGAAGGGCAGGTGGAGAGGGGCAGAGATGGCTGCTCTTGGAGAATGAAGATGTTCTAAAAATTGTGATGGTTCCATAATCTTGTAATGATTAGCTGAAACCACTTAATTGTATGTACACATTAAGTGCATAACTTGTACATGTAATGTGAATTACAACTTCATAACACTGTTAAAGTGGGGAGAGGGACCTACTTGTTAGTAGCTGAGGTGCACAGACTTGTTGGTATGGCTTTGCATAAGATTCTGATGCCAGATGGTGGGAACTCAGCTGAGGGGCTTGAGTTCCTCAGGCCCACCTACTCTTGGCCAGGGCAAGTGGCCTCACTGAGACCCCAGGAAAACCCATCACACCCAGTCCTAGGGTTCTTAGGCAGCCAGAGTAGCCTTATCCACTCTCTGAAGCCTGCTAATTAGCAGAGCACAGGAGTTTCCTGGCCAGGCATCTAGGAAGGGGAACAAGAGAGGGGGTCCTCAGCTACTCCCTCCAGCAGGGGCCCATGGAAACCTGTTAAAGAAGGCAGGTGGGAGGGCCCTTTGGGGTGGTTGGACCCACTCAGAGATTATACAGGAATGGTTGGTTCAACTATTTATTGTGGAGTACTTTACATGCAGGAACACAAACTAGAGAGACAGTATCTGAAAGCAGAGCCAGTAGAGTGGGGGGACACTGTGTCACTTGGAGCCACCCTCTAAAACCAGCTCTACTCACAAAAACAGACAGGGACAAGAACCTGATTTGTGGGACAAGGGGATAACAAACACAACACCTTCTTTTCAGCAGCCCCAAGGATCTGAGGATCCTCACAATTAAATGCAAAGTTTAGGAAAAATTACTACCCCTGTTCTCCCAGATAACCTGGGGGCTGGGTATAGCAGAAGCAGTCAGGACATAGGGTTGACAGCTGTTTCAGGGACACAAGAGAAGCCTAGCTTGGAACCCCATGAACAGGAAGGGCTAGACATGGGTAGTAGGTGAGATGGGTACCTCAGGGCCACATGGGGAGTACTTCCAGGTGGAAACATACTCCTCTGTGGATCCCCTATATGGCTGAGCACACAAAGCCCCAACAAACAGCAGATCATAGCGAGGCCATGGGATGACCAGGCAGTATGAGGGACTGAGGTTGGCTGGGAATAAGGGCTCTCTCATGCTGCTCTCCCCAGCCATATGGGACTGACCTGGTCTCAAAAAGGCCCATAGCCTGCCTGGAGTATCTAGAACCATGTCAGAAGAATGCTGGCAGCTAACAGTGAAGCCTAGAGGAGGAGAAGAGAAACCCACTGCCACTGGGCCACTCAAGGCCCTGCCACCACTTTCCAACCTGAGCAATGCTGTTGGTGACAGCACAGGCCAGACTCCCAGTAGGGAGGACAAGGGCAGCGAGCCAAGGCACAGTCACTCACACTGAGGGGCTGACAGACAGAACAAATGGATAACTACCTTTCCTTCTAGCCCAGGTCACCAAGAAGGCCTTTTGGCTCTAAAACCCTGTGTCCCATGAACAGATAAGGGAGCTGTTCACTTGACCCAGCTCCAGCCTGCCTGCTTAGGACCTGAGCAGGGGCCACTCTAGGACCGGCTTGCAGGAGGCCCACTGCACCAAGATTAAACTACACATAGTACCTTTCCTTCACTGATGCCCAATGGCCAGAGGCAGGAGGAAGTAGTCTTCACACTTCAGCACACAATGAACAAGAAAAGGTTAAACACATCCCCAAGAAAATATTTTGACAAAATAAATATTTTAACCTACAATCAGGTATAATTAGTACTTATAAGGAATCCCAGCAATAATTTAGTGTAATTAAGTACACACTGTATCTGTGATTTCTAACACTTGTAGAGGCTGCTGGCTTGAGAGGGTCCAACTTTCCTGTCCCTAACAGGGGCCTAAGGACTTTGCCCACAGATGGTGGGGAACAGGCAGGAACCCGGGAGCTCAGGACAGTCCACAGGGCTGAGTGCAACCTCCTTCAGGACCCCTGGGCCCAATCTTGCTTCCAGTAAAGACCTTAGGCACATGTTACCTCAGCCCACAGGTAAGGCAAGGCTGCCTCTGGACAGAATGTGAGGAATATGAACTAAACCACAGCAAGGATGCTCTAGGCCAGGAAGGTGGCCTCCTGCCTGCTGCCCAAGGGGCAGCCAGGCCTCTCCATGCCATACCCAGCAGTTGCAGTCAGGAGGTCAGGGAACAACTTGAGACAATGGTACTAGAAATGGCCTTGCTAGGGACCACCCCCAGGTAAACCGCAACCCTCAGCCTCTCCGTAGGAAGCCCATTTTCCTTTCTACATCACTCAGGGAGACTGCCTCCTTAATTCAGAGATGTTGACTTGGCTGCCTACTGCAGATAGGCCCAGCTCTGGCAGGCTGGCAAAGGTGGGCTCTGACCCTCAAAGACAACCTTTCTAGACTGTGCCAAAGGCCAAGCTTCCAGATACACTGGGCCACCCAACCTTCTCTGTGTGATCTTCAGAGCCCTAACAGCCAAGCTGGCCTCAGAGAAGCTTGGGCTGGCCAAGGGACCTGAGTGGAGGGTAGAGGTATGGCAGGTGCTAAAAGAGGGCTGGGCAGGAAGCAGGCCACCAGGGTTCACTGTGGGAGAGACTTCCTCGATGTCTTCTGCAGAGCCAGAGTTGATATCCCCCATGAATCCTGCCAGATGGTCCTCAGCCATACTTCTCTGAGGCTATTGAAGGTGGGATCTGGACTAGGTGTGGGGTTCTGAGTCAGAACTGCAGTGCCATACCTAGAGCAGCCCAGAGCTCGGCACTGATTCATTATAAGTGAAGCCCAGCCTTCTCTGGGCTGGTTGCACCATCTTAACAGTGGGAAGGTTGACCACACAGTGAGTAGGGAAGGCATGGTGACCTGCACAGGAGCTAAAGCAACATTTTCCTTTTACTAGTCAACAGCAGCTTGAGAAACAAGGGGTTGTCAGTCTGACTAGGATGCAGGTAACACTGAGTTGCTTACCCAGAGTCAGGAGATGAACCAGCAAGGACATAGGACAGGAGTAGGCATCACCATCTCTCATTTGCTCAGAACCTGTCAGGCTTCAAACTGAAATTTGTGGCTGGGGGACTTGTGAAGTAGGTGGTGGGTCATATACGGACAGCCCATGGAGGCTGAGGCCCATGCTAGGGAAGGGAGAGGAATGGAGTATGGCTCCAGCCTAGTGGAGCTCCTGGTCATTTGAACCTCCAGGCATGGTACATAGCTGTCTACTGCTAGGCTTGGAGGTAGCTGTGAGGAAGCTTCTGAAGCCTAGACCTAGGTGTGGGATGCAGTAAGTCAAATTGCTTTAGCAAACAGCCTTCTCTAGACATCAGAGCCAGTGTGAGTATGACTGTGATAGTATGCATGGGGTAGTGTTATCTACTATCCACAGGGTATGTGCTACCCTCCAAGATGCCCTTGGCTGGTCTCATACCAAGAGCCACAGATCCCAGACTTTGTCCCAGGCTTGGCAGCTGTGATAGAGAAAGGGTTAGGGAGATGAGGACCCATGGGAGCAGCCCACAGAGCCCACTAAAGTGCAGGCACACTAAGTGCCACAGTGCCACACATTCCATGGAGGGAGACTAAGCCTGTCAGTACAAACAAGTGAATCCTGCTCATCCAAAGGTGGTGGCCCAGAGCCCTTGATCAAAGAGATGAACCCAGGGGAGCAGAGTGGCTCACCTGAAGGAAACCCTGGGGCCAGGCTGAGGCAGGAAGGGGATCAGGAAAGGGTCAGTTTAGGAGCTCTGCTCAGAAAGTGTCAAGGGGGCTTCCCTGCCCAGGACTGGGCCACTGGCTCTTCCTGGATTGACCCAAAGCCAAGTGAGCCCTCAGAGTGGGAGATGGCCGGGCCTCTAGCCAGTGCTGCTGTTGCTACCCAGAGAAAAGGTAGCAAAGCAGGTACTGACCAGGGGGGTCTAGGAGAAAACTGGCATTTCCATGGAGATACAGGTGTGCAGGCTGAGGGACAGGGAAGTGGACAGTGCCTGATGTCCACTGGGGGAGCCACCAGTGACCTGCCATGGGGAGGCAAACCACAGAATGGCTCACAGGGCAAAGAGCGCATCCTCAGACCGCTCTGGCTTCTTCCGACTAGAAGGGTTTGAGGCTGGTGCAGGGGCCTCTGTGGGGGGCGAGGGCAGGTCAGGAACCATTTCAGCAGCTTTGGCTCTTTCTTCTAGGAACTTATCGAACTCTGTAATACAAATCAAGTCAAGATCAGGGTTGGTAAGGATCACTCATCTGGAACCCCAAACCCCTGCTTCAAGCTCCAGCCAGCACCGCATTGCCCTGGTTGCCCTCTGGCAGGAGGTAGGTGGGCAGGAAGAGGAGAGCAGCCAGCCAGAGCCCAGGTTGTTCTGGACCCTTTCAGTCTAAGAATTCACCCCTTCCTGATACCCTACATGCATGGCAGGCAGAAGCCTGATTAGGAGTATGTGAGTTGAGGGGGGCCTTGTACACTGCTGTGGGCCCCTAGTAATGGGGAAAGGGTCAGGCAGCCCCCAGTCCTTACAGGGAAAGGCTCTTGGAAAAGACAGCAGCTGTACAACATTTGCCCTTCCAAGAGTCCAGAACTCTATTTCCCAGATCAGTACTGGGGCAGGGCTCAAGAGAGTGGACTAGTATTAGCACCTGTTTACACATTACAGGCCCACAAGATGCTGAAGAGAGGCTGCAGAAGGCAGCAACACAGGGCAGGTCCTTGGGTTGGCTTCTGCCTGAGCATCTGTCTGGCCATCTAACCAAAGGGTCCTGTAGATTAGGGGGAGGGACAGCCTGGGATGAAGTGTGAAAGACAAAATGGAGGGAAGGGGATGTCAGAAGTGAAGAGGGTTATGGGGCCTTGTGGTACATGGCCCCACAAGACCACCAACTGAGGCTGTGTAGGTACATGTTCCCACAAGACCACCAACTGAGGCTGTGCTGCCCAAGAGGCCCTGAATATCCCATGCACTGTATGGTCTGTGTCTGGGCTTAGTACCTGGTTAGGACCCAGGATGGTAATCTGTGCCCACCATTCACCCTCTCAGTGACCTTCACATGTTCCTCCCAACCTAAAGGAGATAGGAGAAGTGACATGGTCTACATAAGCATGAGTCCTAATGAAGGCTAGGGCTCAGGCCCACCACCCACATGGCTCTGGCAGCAGGGTTGCAGAGCATGGGACCAGCCCCCATGTAGCCCCCAAAGTCAGAGTAAGAGATCAGAAGGGTTGCAGGGCCACTGGCCCAGCCTACCTTCACTCGTGACACCCTCTTCCAGGTCATCACCCTTCTGTGGGAGGAGCAGAGAACAGGCATTAGGGCTCATCCCTGCCCTGTCCATGCAGCCACCTCTGCCCACCCAATGGCTACCCCAGGTAACACTACTCATGGCTACTCGAAGGAAGCAATATTTTTCCCTATTTCCTGATTTCTGTTCCTCCTATTGCAGAGACAGTAAGTTCTTTTTTTGTTTTGTTTTGTTTTTGTTTTTTTAAAAAAGAACAAAAGAACAAAAGCAAAAAATCAAATAGATTCTAGGTTTTGATCTCCTAGAAGGACCAGAAAGAAAAATCCAAAAATGGTGCAGGCTGGTCTCTGGCCTAGGCCTCAGAAGAAAGAACTCTTGTCCATCAACACAAGGCTCTGGGGAGAGATGCCCCTGGAAGTTAGACAAGGGTAGTCACACATGACTGAGGCATGTCTGCTTGCTGTCAGCATAGGGATTTCAGAAAGATACTGTCTACACCAACAGAAGTTGCTTGAGGCCTGGATGGCCAGTGGAAGCTATCACCTGGAAATATATCTCACAACCTCTCCCTGGGCCCAAGCCCTCCTTCCTATTGTTAGCTCCTGAAGGGGTCATGAAGGTTGTGTACACCTTTACACATTTAAGTGGATCATGCTTGATCAGAGAAGAGCATATACACAGGCTTCACTGGGAAGGAGCCCACAGGGGAGTGAGAAGTTACCAGCAGGCCTGGGCCATCTGGGCTCTTCCTGACTTACTACTGCCTTGCTGGGAGCCTTGCTAACAAACCCTTTCCCCTCTCTGGATCTTGCTTTGCCCACGTTCTTCTTTTTTTTTTTTTTTTTAAAGACAAGGTCTCATGTAGTCCATGTTAGGCTTGAATTCACTATGCAGCTGAAGCTGGCCTTGAACTTCTGATCCTCCTGCCTCCATCTCCCAAGTGCTCTGTGAGGGAAGCTATTTCTTTTCCAGGTATCCCCTTGGAAAGATCACGGGCCACTTCCCTGGCACCCAGATGGCTGCGTCCTGGGGCAGTATCTTTAGAAAGCCTGGCTTTCTAGGGAAGTGGCAGACTAACTATAGCCTGCTGTCCTCATGTGAAAGGTGCCACAGACAGCCCACAGACAGCCAGGTCAGTCCTGCAGCCACTGGCTGACTCCCTCCCAAGCCCAGCTGCTGTGAGTGGAGGAGCCTTTTAAGGGAGCAGGGGATGCACTTGATGCCATCTTCAGACACATGGTGGCCCCAGCCTCTTACCTATCTTAGAAGATGGAGAAAGTAGTTTTGGGGGCAGGAGCTCTTTTAAACCCTAAATACTAAAAGATATTAGGAATGGGAATGACAGTGAATTTAAAACCAAGCACCTAACTCATCTGTATGTATGTTTACATTTTTAAAAAAAAGAAATGATGAGGGCTAGGATGTAGCACTTGCTTACTAGCATGCACAACGCCATGAGTTCAACCCCCAGCACAGGAAAAGAAAAAATGTTCCTCCCTCAAAAAAACCAAAATAAAAATAAAAACAAACAAACAAAAAATCAAACCAACAAACCATACCCAAGTGTACACACCTTTGGAAATTTAAAAGAAACTGGGGAGGAGCTAAGTGTGTATCAGGTATCAGTTACAGTGGGCCTCTCCAGCTCTTCTGCTCCCATAGGTGGGATCCTGAGATGGACCTGCCCATGCCTCTAGAGGAGTACATGGGTGAGAGGTTGTACCTAGAGCCAGCACCACTGTTAGCCTCCCCGAATCAACCATGGCACCCTTGGGCAAGGCCACATGTTGGAAAGGTGAGCTTTCATGGGCTGCCTTGATCTCCCTTATCCAACCCACCAAGATAGAGGTGGGACCCCTGCCACAAGCCCCCAGGCCTGACCTCAGAAGAGCCTCTGCCGTGCCACAACCCGCACACAAAATGTAAAAGTCAAGTCTCACCAGGTCTGTCCTGAGCCACACCTCAATGTCGTCCATGACAGAGGGCTGCGCAACTGGGATCTATGGAGGCAGAGGCGGCAAGCAGCAGGGCCAGGCAGCCCCCACACAGCCAGGCAGGAGAAGACAGAACACCAGAACAAAGTAAATCATCAAAAGTAACCCCCAAACAAAACAAAAATGTACACAGCAAACAAACAACTGCACGGTATGCATGGGCAACATAGGCAGCCACATGGGAAATGATAGGTGAAGAAGACAGTGAAGTGGCAAGTAATAAGGAGCAGGCTGGCCAGCAGGGGCTGGTGGCAAGGAAGTACGAGTTCTTGACATGGAGAATTTTTGACTGTGTGTGTCTGCCCTTTCAACCCAGGGTTACAAAGCACCTAATCTCAGAAAAGCAGCAGCCATGAAGACGAATCAGCTGTCCTAGGTAAAACCCACCCCAGGCCTAAAGGGGTCCCCCAGGGGAAGCTGAGCACCAGAGCACTCAGGAACTCAGGAGTACAGGTGCTCAGGGGGGCAAGGGCAGCTTAGCCTAGGGCCTGGTCTTCTCAGCTGCGTGGCTTTCTGAGTGGAAAAGCCAGAACACAAGCTCTGATGGCCTGGGACTGTCCTGCTGTCAGAAGGCAGGCATACTTTACCAGTAAGAGAAATGTAGCTGAAAGAAGGATTTTGGTGACAAAAAGGACAGCAGAGCTTTAATCTTCTTTGTCTCTCAGTGAGGAAAAATCACTGCTTAGCAGCCCTGAACTTCCAAGTAGCCACAGCTTCTTTGAGTCTCATCTTTTTCCCCACCTCTCAGCAGTTGTCTAAGCTTCAGTAGTAGAGAAAAGTAGTCCACAGAGGACCAGGGAGCAGGATGCCTAGGATGCGACAGGGCTCCCTGAAAAACCTTACAGGTGTTAGAGAAATTGTCATGCCAGGGCCTGAACCAAGGGCCCCAGGGCAGAAATTCTGAAAAAATTTATGTAACTAAAAACATTGAAGTTGCTATTAGATATGACAGGATATAAAGTGAAGGTGGCCTTTAATCCCTTTAGAAGGCATGTTAATAAAAGGTTGGCTCCCAGCCTTGACAAATGAGGTGATGTCCCCTAATCAGTGGGACCTATCTCTCACCTACCCAGGACTGAGAGGAACCTCATCTGGGAGGCTTGCTTGCTAGCCCACTATTTCTAGAAGAAAATACCAGCATTGTGTTTATAACTGACTATACCCTAATGCCTAGGGTAAGAATAAACTTAAAATAAGCAGTAAGATTGCCTTGTGTCAATTTAATTCCTCAAAACAAACAAATGAAACCCCACCTAACATTAACAGGAAGAGAACAAAGAATCTGTATCACCAGCCCTGACATGACTCCATCTTAGAGGTTGACGCCTACTGCCAAAAGGGGTGGAGCCTATACATGCGGAGCAGGTGTCTGCAGCGGTGCTCAGGGAGTTTATTATACTTCCCTTAGCAAGCTGGCGAACCGTTGGCTGACAATGTGCTTTGTGTCAGATCCTTACTCTGCTGTGGGTGGTCAGCATATTCAGAACAGCCCACGCTACCACTGACAATACTAGGTAGTATCTTTCCATTACCATTTTAATCCCTGGAAACTTCAGACTGTCAAACTGGAAATGATTCTGGGAGTTCTTACCACTACAATGTGAGTCCCAGTGACAAGCTTGTGATTACTCAGTGTGGGAGCAGGCATGTTCAATGGCTGTGCCAACAATGCCTATGGCAGGCACCTGCCTTCCTCATCAAAGAACATCAGGGCACAGTGGATGAACCTGCTATGTGATGATTGCTGGCAGGCCTTCTTCTGCCTTGACACATTCCTGGACCAGGATGTGCTATTTTCATGATCTACAAATCACAATTTCTGGCTTGGAGAGAACATGTGCCACACCCAGTCCCCAACTCAGAAAATCAACTGTTTCTCCAAGAAGAAATGTCACCCATGGCATTGTGCACATGGGTCCCGCTGTCTACTATCCAGCTCAGCCCACCTAGAAAAGACTGAGATTCCACATACTGAGCTCTTTTTGCAGTGTTGGAGATGGAGCACAGGGTCTCATGCATGCAAGTGTTTTTCACTGTGTTGCTAAAGCTTTAGGGGGTCATGGGCCTAAAACCTTCAGCTTTTCTTTAATATCCTTTTTGTTACTGTTAAAATGTCGAGGGCTAGAAAGTTTAACTCAGAAGTAGAACACTTGCCTAGCATATGTTAAGTCCTGGGTCTAATTCCCATCACCAAAAAAATCAGTAAATAACTAAACAAATCCCTGAGGTGACAGCATGGTGAAGGTGATGGATGAGCAACAGTGGGGCTAGGCTACATCTGGGACAGTACCTGCCAATGCAGGTCTGCAGGGAGTCACTTCTTGTGCTGGATAGCTTCAGTTGTCAACTTGACACACCTGGGTAGAGGGAACCTCAGCTATTACCTCCATTGGATTGGCCTATAGGCATGTCTTTGGGGCATTTTCTGATTTGTTGAGTAATGTGGGAGAGCCTAGCCTTTTGTGGGCAGTGCCACTCCTGGGCAGGTAGTCCTTTTTGTATAAGAAAGCAGGCTGAAGCTGGACGTGGTGGCATATGCCTTTAATGCCAGCATTTGGGAGGCAAAAGCAGGCAGATCTCTGAGTTCGAGGCCAGCCTGGTCTACATAGTGAGTTCCAGACCAGCTGGGGCTACAGGGAGACCCTGTCTCAAAAAGCAAAAAAGCAGGCTGAGCACAGGCCAGGGGGACAAGCCAGTAAGCAGCATTCCTCCATGGTCTATGCTTCAGCATCTGCCCTGTCTTCCCTCCATGATGAGCTATTAAGTTGAAGTTGAAATAAACCCTTTCCTCCCCAAGTTGCTTTTAGTCATGGTGTTTATTACAGCAATTTAAAGCAAACTAGAACACTCCTCTTTGACCCCAGTTTTTTCAACAGATGAATCCAACCTCTACTGTCTTAAAAAGACTCAGCTATGTGAATAAAAGGTAGGAGCACGCGTTCAAAGGCTCTAACAAGGCTTGGCCTCCATTCTATTCCCTCATCTGTAAACAGGGTGATTGCAAGCTGGTCTTTTACTTCCAACACTCCTGAGTTAGGACCCCTCACCTTCCAGGTTGGTATGTCTGTTTTCTAATGTAGACATCTAAGGTAGTGTGGTCACTCAAACTGAGTCTCTCAGACCTTAGAGCATGTGCTGAGGTGCTGGGGTACTGCTTATCAGCTGGGCTTATCTAAAGGAAGACAAAGTAGTGGTAGAATGTAAAACCTTAGCTATATATAAACATGCTCTGCTAAATAAGCAGAGTATAGCTTTCTAATCACACAGGTATGCCCAGACCCAGACTAAAACATGTACACACGTTGAACATATGAACTACAGAGGTCTAGAAAGAGGGAAAAGCAGGTCCCCATTCCAGCTGACAGAGAAGGGGGCACTGTACTAAGTCTCATGGGACCTCCTATCTCTGTCCTAAGGCTTAGGGCAAATCACTAGGCCCTTAGGGGCCTTAGCATCCTCAGCTGCCACATGAGAGCTTGGTCCAACAGATCCCTAGGAAGCTGTTGGCCACAGTTTTAGCATCTTTTTGGATACAGATCCAAGCTGCAGACTGGTCCAAGGGGTTGAAGAACTGTATGTATTTGATGAAGGAGACAGAGGGGAAGAGAAAGGATATGAAGAGAAAAGAATCTACCCTAGAATACTCTCCCATAGAGACCAAAGCCAAAGGCTGACCCATATGAAGAAAGCAGCCAGGGTGGCAGGCTGGAGGCCCTGGTAGCATCAGCCTGCCTATCTTTGAGTCCACAGAGATCCAGGCAGCTCTGATACCAAGGTGGCAAGTTGGCTCTGGGTGATAGGCAGTTGTCCTGCTGTTGGCTCCTACCTAGAGCTATAGGCAGAGTCACTCTGCCTTAGGGACAGAAAGTGGGAGAAGTGCTGCTATCAGCTTCAGTGCTCTTTGTGGCCTTGGGGTGCCATGTCTGAGTCTCCTGGGGTTACTGAGCAGGGATAACTGGAGCTAGCTTCTGATAACAACAGGTTCTTTTTATTTATTTATTATTATTTTTTTTATTTTTTATTTTTTTGCTCTCTTTGAGACAGGGTCTCCCTGTAGCCCCGGCTGTCCTGGAATTTACTATGTAGACCAGGCTGGCCTTGAACTCACAGCGATCTGACTGCCTTTGCCTCTCAAGTGATGGGATTAAAGGCATCACCACACCCAGCTTAGAGTTCTACTTAGATCTACTTTAAGGAAGTGACACTAGACAGAATGATCAGTCTCCAGCAGATGAACTCACCCTGAGTAATAGCTGGGTACATAAACTTCATCACTCGGTAGGCTTGAACATATATGACAGAATACATCACAGAGATCCGCCTGCCTCTGCCTCCTGAGGGCTGGGATTAAAGGTGTGCGCCTTTATTATTTTTATTTTATGTGTATGAGTATTATGCCTGCATGTAGGTAAGTGCATCCATGTTGTGCAATCCCCACAGAGGACAGAAGAGGCTGTCAGATCCCCTGGAACTGGAGTTACGAACAGTTGTTAGCTGTCATGTGGGTGCTGGGATTCGAACCCAGGTCTTCTGCAAGAACAGTTAGTGTTCTTAACCACTGAGCCATCTCTCCAGCCCCTTATTTTTGTCTTTTTGAGACAGGGTTTTCCTGTAGCCCCAACAGGCCTGGAATTCACTATGTAGACCAGCCTAACCTCAAACTCACAGAGACCCCTCTGACTCTGCCTCTCCAGTGCCGGGATTAAAGGTGTGTGCCATCATGCCCAGCACAATATTCACTCTCTGAACCTTCTCTCCAGCCCTTTTGTTGTTGTTGATATTGTTCTTCTTCTTCCCCTCCACCTCTTCTTCCTCCTTCCTTCCCTCCCTCCCTCTCTCTCTCTTCTCTCTAACTGTATCTCTTATGGGGATCAAACTTAGACCTCATGAATGAATGCTGGTTAAGCCCTCTGTTATTTCTTTTCCTGGTTTGACACTATTATTGTTGTTATTATGATTACTATTATTTGTGTGTGTGTGTGTGTGTGTGTATGTAGAGAGAGAGAGAGAGAGAGAGAGAGAGAGAGAGAGAGAGAGAGATTGAAAGACTAATGTGTGTGAGAGAGAGAGAGAGACTGAAAGACTAAGAGAGACTATTCAGCTTAGGGTGGTCTCTGTAGCTCAGGTTGGCTCAAACTTGTGGGCCTTCTGTCTCAGCTTCCCCAGTGCTGAGACTAGGGACATGCCTTACCATACCCAGTTTTCCTACTCTGACTTTCCTAGCTGCCCCTTGGAAATAGGAGATGGTCCTAGCTGATCACCAACTAGAAGGGCAGAAAGACCCAAGGGCCAGGAAGGGAGGGAATGGAGAGCTGCTGGAGTACACCTGGTGTAATGACCTGTGTGTGCTGCCCTCATACTTGAGGCCCTGGGAGAGGAAGGGACAGGGAGGCACTCCTCCACAGCTTTTCCTAGCCCCAAGCTCACAAAGAGGCCCACTCATCTGATGTTAAATCCAACAAGAGCAAGTCTGCACTGGGTGTGCCTACTCCCGGAGAAGCTATGAAACTCTCTGCAACACTTCACCAGATCCAATGGGAGGAACAGTCTAAAAGCCTCTTTGGTAATACAAAAAGTTTCCATGTGAAGAATCTGTACTCAGAAGGTTTGAAAGGCAGGATTTCTATACTATGGGAAATAAAGCAAAGCAATTAATATACATTGTTTTACAAGAAAAAAAATTGTAGGCACAAAGGTGAGACACCAAGTTAGCTGTTAGTTGGGTTTGTCTCTGGCAAGTTGAACTAGAGCTCTAACATAGGGACAGGGCAGGGGAGAGGCAGCCTATGTGGGCTGAGGCAGGCGCGACCACCAGCTGCCCAGGTTACATTCAGAGTAATTTAGAGGGCAGTATCCTTTTTTGCAGGGCTAACAGGAACAAGGACACACAGCTGGATCTTCCTAATTTGATAATGGAGGAGACATATTTTATGGGAAGCCAGCTTTAAGGCCAGGGCCCAGTCTGACCCTAAAGAAGCTAAAGGGCCTAACCAGGCCACACCTCCAGGAAAGCCTTGTAGTTGCAGGAGCAGCTGCCTTCTCACTCAGGGCAAGAGTGTGCTGCTGCTGGAATAGGGCAGCCTGAATACCACTGTGTGCTGCTCACCAGCCCATTTGTACCCATGGCTCAAGCTTTTCTCAGACAGGTGGCCCCACAGCCTGTCACTTACAAATCCTACCTGAACACCTGCCCATCTGGATCCCTCTTCTGGCCAGTTTGGCCTAGCACTGAGGGCTAGTTCTATGTCTCCCTTACCCCCTTTACCTGGAGGGCAGAGGTTCACATGTACAGTTCTGTCACCAGCTAATTCCTCAGTATCCTTACATGCTCTGTTCCCACCATATACACCTAGAGCTTTGATTCTGTGCTTGGTAATGAAGTGTTTTCCCTAAGGCAAGCAGCTTGAGATGAAATCACCATCTCTCCATGAACCAGGCTCAGAGTCACCTACACAGATGAGGTAGGAATGACCCTCCCAAGCATCTGTGCCACAAAAGTGTCACTACATGGGAATTGACCACAGATGTATTAAATTCCTCCTGGCTTTATCTTTTTACTCTGTTTCTATTATGTATACACTCTACAGGCAATCTCAAGGCCTTTTGGAAGACTCTGTTATATTATAAAAGCCCACCAAGCCAAGGACTGCCAAATTCCCAGGCACAGGATAAGAGGGGGCTTCTCTGGCTTGCCATATGCTGAGATCACTCATGATGGTCCCCTCCCAAGCACAAGTCACACTTACTTGTGCTCATCCTGGAAAAATGAATACTGCCAAGGGAATGAATACTGTCAGAGGAGGGAAGAGCCTTCCCTCACTCCTGCAAAAAGGAAGCCCTTGAAGACCCAGGAGCACAGGCTCAGCAGAAAACCAAAGGTGTTTCTGGAGCTGGAAGTCTGAGGCCTTAAAGAAACTTCACATAGACCAGGAAATTTGGCACCCTCCAGGAGTGAGTGTTATATTTCCTGTCTGATTACAAGTACTGGGCAGGTGGCAAAAGGATGGCGCCAACTGTTATACAGGTGAGGGGCTAGGGCGGGCAGCGGGTTCGCTCAGCTTGTGGCTCCTCACCATTCCTTGGGTTATGAGCCAGCTGTCTATGGGCTCCAGGTCAGAGTCCCCACCTTTCCCTCTCTGCTGGACCGAGGGCAAAAAAATCCCAGAAAGAAAGTCACAGCAAGACCCATGAGGAAGTTATAACACATTTTGTAGAACAGAACTCATTGTTTAGACTTGATCATTTGTTACATGAGGAAATGTGATCCAATACCTCCCACCCCTGTCCTGGCATATCCCTCTTACTTACCTGGAAAAGAGAAAAATCAGTAACCATGAGCCTAGGCTGGATAACACATACTCATACTGACTGTCCTTCAGCACCTGGAGGCCTGGGTGAAGCCTTGAGGCTGCTCAGGGCTGCTTCTCTTGATAAGAACACCATGGTGGCAGATCAATTTTGTCTCTGTAATCTTTTCATATCCTAGGATGGCCTTGAATTCCTGATCCTCCTGCCTTAATCTCCTGAATGCTGGGATTATAAATGTGTTTATCATGCCTAGCCTAAAGGGTCAGCTTTCAAAGAACCAGCTTTTACAAAATTGTTTCTACTTTTTTCCTAACTTATTCTGCCTTTTTTGGTCTTTTTTCTCCATTCTAGTTTGCATATGTATTCTTTTCATGAACTCTTAACTTGAACACTGGATTCAGATATATTCCTTATTGTCTTTTAATATTTGTGTAAATATTTATGTATTTATTTATCTGTGGTACTGATGAACCCAGGGCACTGTGTATACTAGGTAAGTGTTCTACCACTGGTACTGAGTTACACCCCCAGCTTTACTTCCTTTTTAAAAAAATTTTTATTACTTATATTTTACATGTATGAGTTATTGCCTACATGTGTGTAAGTGCACCCATGTCATGCAATGCTTGTACAGGTCAAAAGAGGGCATCAGATCCCCTGGAACTGAAGTTATGATTGGTTGTTGGCCACCATATGGGTGCTGGGAATCGAACCCGAGTACTCTGCGAGAGCAGTCAGTGCTCATAACCGGAGTCATCTGAGTCATCTCCAGCCACCCTCCCCCCTTTGACAGAGTTTCACTACATAGCCCTGGCTGGCCTACAACTCACTATGTAGACAAGGCTAACCTCTAACTATAGAGATCCATTTGCCTCTCAAGTGCTTGGATTAAAGGTATGTGCCACTATACCTGACTTTCTACTGCTTTCAAAAAATTTTAAGATATTTTTTTATGTGTGCAAGTATCCATGAGCACACCTATATATATATGCCATGATATAGGTAGAGCTCAGGGGAAAACTTATGGAAGTTGGTTCCTTCTTTTCTTTTCTTTTTTTAAAAATATTTACTATTTTTATTTTACGTGTATGCGTGTATTGCCTGCATGTAGATAAGTGCACCTATGTCATGCAATGAATGCCCATGGAGGACATTAGAGGCTGTCGATCCCCTGGAACTGGAGTTACAGACAGTTGTTAGCTGCCATGTGGGTGCTGGGATTTGAGCTCAGATCTTCTGCAAGAACAGATGGCTGAGCCATCTCTCCAGCCCCTGGTTCCTTCTTTTCACCATGTGGATTCTGGGGACCAAACTTGGGCCATTAGGTTTGGCAGCAATACCTGCTGAGCCTTCTTGCCAGCTCTATACTGCTTTTTAAAATGGTGAAACGATTTAGAGGTGGGAATCTTACTTGTAGGGGTGTGGTTACAGAACTTTCTCTCCTTTACTGTATTCTCAGCTTCTCCCTCGGCCCAGTTCTCATTCCAGGACAGCATGGCCCAATAAGGTCAAGACAGCCTGCAATGTGTTCACATAGATGCACATGACTGCCCAGTGTCCTGCCACCCTTTCTTGTGGAGGCCAGGCCTAGTTTCTACCATAGGAAAATCTGTTGGAATCAGCAAGACCTTTGAAAACAGGGAGCCAGGCCAAGCCACGCATTCAAAGTGTGAAGGGTGAGAAGTCAACCACGTTTCCTGGACTTAGATCCAGGCTTCAGCACTGATAATGGCAGGGGTGAAGCAGGACACAGACGATGGGGCAGGCGCAAAGAGCCTGGCTAGAAAACAAGGCTGCTCCAGGCCAGGGTCAGCCAGGAAGAGGGGCCATCCCTGTCCTCACTAGGTAGTAAATGAGCAGGCCTCCAGCCTGGCTCTCTAATTCCTTTGCTCGGTTAGGTGTGGAGATAGTTTAAATAATGGGAGAAAGAACCACACCTATTTCTTGAATGGTGAATGTCACTGAGAGCCACTGCCAGTGGACCAGTCAGGTGTTGAGAACCCAAGGCAGCAGGCAGGCTCTTTTGCACCCCCTGGTGGCCAGTAAAAAGGTACATAAGCCAAGGCAAACCAGGAGTCCCTACCCCTAAGGGCAAGTTTTTTCATGGTGCCAGGCAGCAGTTTTGCTGCCCTCCATCCCCTAGTCCTTTGGACAGGGGCCACAGGAAGCTAAGAACTAGTGTTCAGGAAGCAAAGAGCCCTTTCAAATTTCCTTTGCCAGTGGACAGGTGAGCACTGTTTCCTTTCATCCCAGCCCAGGAGATCCCAAGAGCCCTATTCCTCCCTGCCTGGAAGACAGGCATGCATTCCCTCAAAAAGAGAAGTATCTGAAAAGATATAACAGAATGAAGGTCCTCCCCTCACTCCTCCTCTGTTTTGAAATCTTATGGAAACCATGGCTGTGGTTTGGGGCTCACAGAAATTTCATCCTTCACTTCAAAGTGCTGTAACACCTAGCTTCTCTACTTCCAATCCCAGAGCTTCCCAGGACACTCTCTAAACCACCCTCAAACAAGTCTTGACCCTGAATTGTCTTCCCCTGGGATTGGCAGTGCTTTGCTAGGCAGTAGAGAGGTGGCTTGGCTCAGCATTCACTTTGCTTGTGAGGGTACTTATTTTGTTAGTACACTGTCTACCTCAGGACACTGTAATGTGATTAGAAGCCCTATTGGGCTATAGGAGACCCACATCCCATAAGCTTGGGTCACTGAGGTAGGAATAGCAGGGATTCGAGCTACCCACTGCTAGGATGGAACCCCTGAATGCTAACTGCTATCTGCATATCCCTGGTCTCTTTAATGACTCTCTAGGCCTGTTTCCTCTTGCATATGACAGGAATGGCACCTCACAGAGCAGGGGATTCTGAGGCCCTACTAGGTGGCATAGAGATGCTCTGTGGGTATCTTCCCAGGCTATCCCTGCCATCTATACAAGCCACCTTCTGCTGAATTATCCAGCCAACTTTACCAGACTGCCTGCCTTTATCTCCAGAAAGACTCCAGGCAGAAAAACAGGCTTGAAGACCTACCACTTCTGAGCTCTGTTTCCGACTGTCTAGTGCAGAAGCGAGTCCTCCGACAGCCTGGGGATCCTCGTAGGTGACCCTGGAGACAAGCAGTGCAAGCTCAGTGAGTTCTCTCTGGGTGGGCTCAGGGGTGTGGTAGTGACCTGCAATTCTTTTCTATCCCATGGCACCTTCTCAGGTGTGACCTGAGCCTTGAGCAGAGGCTAAGGACTCTTGTTATCTGTCTCCTGGCAGCTGAAGTGAGGAGCTAGCCCAAGCTCACCACTAGAGCCCTCTCTGATACAATGTTTTTCAATGTCCCAGTCTTGAATAATAATACTCTGGTCTCTGAAGCCCTGAAAGTCTTCAGAATAGGGGCTACACAGGGTAAAATAAAAGTAACTTTTATTTTACAAGGAGCATTCTCCACTGGGCTGAATGGAAGGCATGCTCCTGTTTCCCTAAGATGCAGGGGCTGTCTGTTTTGGAATCAAATTTCTCCAATTCCATATTGGCTTGCCTTTGCCAGAGCCATGACCATTTTTTGTTTTGTTTCGGTTTTTGTCTTTTTGAGATAGGGTTTCCCTATAGCCCCTGCTGGCATGGAACTCACAATGCAGACCAGGCTGGCCTCCATCCCTGCCTTTGCCTCCCAAGTGCTAGGACTAAAGGTGTGCACCACCACACCAGGCTTGCCCTGACCATTTTTCAAAGTGTTTGAATCTTGCTGCTAGGAGCAGGTCTGGATGCCTGCCTGCCTGCCCATGACTTCTGTCTCTCAGCTTCTCCTGCAGAGGAGGGCTTGAGTGAGGCATGGCATGGACAGGAAAGAAAGAAGGAGAATCTGTGACTGACAGAATGATAATACAATCAACCTCCAGGGTGGAAGAGGGGTGGGAACTGCCTTTCATTCAACCTCAGCAGTTAATGACAAGTCTCACAGCCAGAGTTCAAAGTTTCTAACAGTCTTACATAAACTTTTCTTAGTAAAGAAAAGGCCTCTTTGTGTTTGCCTGTGATCAGGCCTGGGTCAATTCCCCCTCACCCCCTAGTATCTGTAGAGAGCATTAGAGAGAGTCCCACATACGTTTTACGCTGCTCAGCCAAGGAGCTCCCTCTGGTCTGGGCAAACATGTCAAAGCCATCATGAGGATTACACTGCTGGAGTGAACTGAGGGTGCCACTGACGCTCTCTGTCCCCAAGTCTGTGACAACAAAACAAGAAGCAGATGAAAACAAAATGTGGCTTTTTAAAAGATCTTTTCAAAACAAAGTTTGCCACAGCACACATGTGGAGGTCAGAGGACAACTTTGTGGAGTCAGTTCTCTCCTTCTACCTTTAGTGATAGAGGTTCTAGGGATCCAACTTAGATCATCAGGCTTGCACAGTAAGCACCTTTGCCCACTGAGCCATCTCATTGACCCAAAATGTGGGTTTCTGATGAGGGATCCCAAAGCCAGGATGATAGCCCAGTGAGTAACAAGATTGTGAGCTGACAGGGCTCAGCATCCCAGTACAGCATATATGAGTCAAGGCAGGCCCAGATGGGAGACAGGAATGCCTTGAGCCCTAAACTGCTTAAGGAGGGAAAGAGCTTCCCTGAATAGAAAAGATACTACTGGCAGTGAGAAGATGGGGACCAGGGTCAGCACACCTGCAGCCTTCTCTCCATGCCCTTCTCAGGTCCTCCCCACCCCATTCACTCAGTCACAATGTGTAATAAGTAGACCTGAGCCACTTAATTTGGAAACTGCTTCTTAGGTACTCATGATCAGAGCCAAAGCTTGAGGACACCAGGTAGAATCTAAGATGGTTCCTGGCCTCAGAAGCTCATTGCATAACTGAGCAATTAAGAGGGACAAACCCTTGGAATGCTTGGCTCCAGATGCTGGGAGAGGCTTAGGGTGAGTCTTTCAAGATTGAGTGGGCTATACTATAGGGAGCAGGGGAAGAAAATGAGGACAAAAGCAGGGTCTGGAGAAGCAGGCTATGGAAAATGTTAGCACTTGGGAGAAACAAGGAGGAAGCTAGAACAGGAGATGAGAAATGGCCAGGGAGGTACCACAACACCAGGTAAACGGGTGAATGGAAAAGAATCAGACATTCTTAAGAAGACAGCAACAAAATCCACTGGCTGAAGCAGGAGGATTGCTGAAAATTCAAGGCCAGTCTGGGCTATATACTGAGTTCCAGGCTGTTCAAAATGCCAAATACAAGGCCAACAAGATGGCTCAGCAGGTAAAGGCACTTGCCACAAAGCTTGACTACCTGAGTTAAATCCCTAGAAACACACATGGTGGGAGGAAAGAACCAATTCCCATAAGTTACCCTCTGACCTTCTCCACATGCATGCCATGGCATGAACTCACCCAAATACATACATACACACCCAATAAATAATAAATAAATGTAATTAAAATGTAAAGCCAAATATATGTATATGTATGTGTGAATACATACACATACATACACATATAAGTCATCAGCTGGATGGATTGAAGGCAGAGACATCTGTTCTGTTGGGAATATATGGCTACAGAGAGAGGAGATACTGAGACACTAGAATTACAATTAAGCCAATGAATAAAAGCTTAATTCAACCAAAGTGAAATGAATATAGAAATATTAAGGAAAAAAAAAACAGAAAAGGTAGAGAAAGAAATTTTGAAGATCATGCTTACTAGTTATACCAATATCAGAATTTAATTTGGTCTAACTTGATATAAATGAAATATACAGTGTCATATACACAGTTCTATTGTGGAAAAAATGAGCAGTTTCTCCTAAGTTAATAGAATGCTATTAGGTTGATGGTTTAGTTTGAAGTAGACAAATCAGTGTCATCACTTCCTTGCCCAGTGAAGACATTGCCAATCAATCAGATTCACGGTTTAGGCCTTGAGATGCAATAGTTTTAATTGTCAACTTGACACAATCTAGAATTATCTGAGAAGAGTCTCAATGAGGGAGAACCTGTTTAGAACAGGCTGGGTGCATCTTGATTATGTTAACTGAGGTGGGAAGACTCACCCATCACAGCAGCACCATTCCCTGCATCTGGACCTTGAATTGTGTTAAGTATAGAGAAAGGAGTGAATACAAGAGCGCATACATGCAGGTGTTCATTCTCTGTGCTCTTGATTGTGAGGTGACCAGCTGCTTCAAGTTCCTGTTTTGACTTTCCCAATATGATAGATTATAACCTGGAATTGTAAGCTGAATAAACCCTTCTCCCCTAAGTTGCTTTTTGTTAGGGTATTTTATCACAGTGACAGAAATCAAACTAAGAAAATGTGGCTTTGGTAGCGTTTTAAAACCTGTGTTCTGAGCAGCCAATGAAGTAAGATCTGTTTGCCACCTTCAGCCCAGTTAACAGTGAAAATTAAATCATCTCAACACAAGGACTATTCCAGATAAAACATGGCAGGCTACTTTTCTTTTAAAAAGCAAACAATTTCCAAATCCTTGGACTTTCTCCACCTCTACTTTCCAATAGAAGCTTAAACTTTAAGTTTTAGGAAAAGAAGACACAAATCAAAGGTGATACAGTCGGCCTGGACTCTGGAATACACCTTTACATGAATTACTCCACAGGCTCTCTATAGCCTTCCAACAAAGAATGAAATATGTCTAGAAAGGCAGCCCAGGGGCTAGAGAAACAGCCCAGCTGTTAAGAGCCGCTCTTCCAGAGGACCCAAGTTCGGTTCCCAGCACCTATATTAGGTGGCTCACAACTGCCTGTAACTTTAGTTCCAGGGAGTCTAATACCCTCTTCTAGCTCTGTGAGCACACATGGCATACACATGAATAAAAATAAATCTTAGAGAAAGAGGTGGGGGAGAGGGAGAGGTAGAGGGAGAAGGGGGGGAGAGAGAGAGTGCGCGCACACGAGAGAGAGAGAGAGAGAGAGAGAGAGAGAGAGAGAGAGAGAGCGAGCTTAAGACACTCACCCAAGCCTGCAAGTTGGGAGGAAAGGGAAGATGGGGGTGCTGTGCTTCCCACCATGGGGCTCACCACAGCAGGCGAGCCTGGGCCCAAGTCTATTAAGTTGTCTTCAGTTACTTCATTCAGTACCTGTCAGGACATAAGATTGGCAGTGAAACCTCAGCCCTTGGGTTAAGCTCTGAGGTAAACCTCCAGGTACGTGCACAGGAATCTTCATGCACTCATTAGAAAAAGCATCAAAGCTATCCAGCAAAGATGCAAGGTAGTCCCCTCACCTGCCTGCAGGGTCCCTGCATGGGCCCAGGCTATCAGTATGCCTCATGCCCTGGCCTCCTCTTCTCCCCACTTACAGAGGGTACAGTGAGTCACTAGGATGCCCACTGTCCTAAGCACTGTGGCCTGTCTTCTTCTGCCTTCCCATCAGGATGCCTGCCAGCTCTCCCCCAGGCTCCCTTCAAACAGAACTCACTGTGTACTTACTCAAATATTTAGTATTTACTCTGTCAGAAAATCAGAAGTGAGGGCTGAATGGGCCAGGTCTCTAATGTGTCTATGGGAGGGAGTTCCAAAGGAAACTTACTCCGTTGCTGGCATTCTGAACTGATCGGCTGGATCTGTACCTCTCAAACCTGAGAAAGGAAAGCAGAAGGAAAAAATGAATGAGGCCAAACTAGTCTTACTCATGATCCTATGAAGAGCACTAGGGACCCAGCAGAGGCCCAGGTTCCTGAAGCCTGGTAGTGAGTGCAGACCCTTCTATTTCATAAAGCTCTGCTGGGGAGCACACAGCTCCTGTGGCTAACATGCCACCAGCTCAACCTCAAGAAGAAAGGGGCACAGTCTAATGCGGGTAGCACAGAAAGGAAGAAAACCTCACAGGGCATTGGCCTGGAGAAAAGTCTTGCCAGGAACCATGAGATAGTTTGTGACAACCACCCAAGAGCAGTCAAGAAAGCAAAGTGGAGCCACCCAGCCCTGCCAGGGACACGCTCCTCCACACCCAGTCTGGGAATGACTGCAAGTGAGACTTGGCTGAGATAAACTACAGAAAACCCCTCTGCCACACCAAGTCATCCTCACACCTGGTGGAGAATGCAGGAGCAGTTGTGAGGTATCTGTTGGGGAGTACAATAGATCTCATTCTATATTGTATTTAAAATCTACAAATCCACCTGCCTCTGCCTCCTGAGTACTGGGATTAAAGGCGTGTACCACCATGCCCAGCTGATTTGTTGTTTTTGATTTGCTGTTCTGTTGCTGTTTTAGAGAGAAGTTTATCATAGATTCAGAAGTGGGAACTTAAGAGGGAGAGAGAGAGCACCACACCATTTGAGTTAGCCATGGAGCTCAGCCTCGTTGCACACAAGCAGCCACACTATAGGGAGGGGAGCTTTAAAGAAAGAGTGAAACAGTCAGGAGAACCAGAGAATGCATACTTGGGTGCTGGCCAGCATCTAAAGAAAGGCAGAAGAGAATAAAAAAAATTTTTTTAAAAGGAAAAGCTATACCTAACTCAGGACTCAGAAAGGTGGGGAGACCCAAAATAACCTCATAAAGCCTGTGATTTTTTTTTGTTTTTGAGACAAGGTCTGCTAGGTAGTCCAGGCTGACCTCAAGATCCTCCCATTTCTACCTCCTAAGTACTGGGAATGCAGATGTGTACCATGATACTTGGCTTGGTGGCGTACAACTGTAATCCCAGTATTTAAGAGAGGCTGAGGCAGAAGGATCAAGAGTTCAAAGTCAGATTGGGCTACAGAGAGAGACACTGTTCTCCCCCCCTCCGCCCCAAAGCAATAAAACAAAAACCACCTCATCAAAATAAATAAACGAATCAGAAAGACTTGCATGATTGTCAACAGTGGTCTGTAAGGCTGGTGCCTCTGAAGTCTTTCTAACTGCAGACCAATAAATTTATAGGTGACAGTGCCCATGTTAGTTCCTGCTATCCTTCCCTAGTAAAGGTTAAATGAGCTTAACCCAAGTCCACCTGGGGTGAGAAAACTGAAACTACATGGGGACTCTGGGTTGGGAGTTGAAGTCTTCAGATCAGACACGCTGGGGGCTGCTAGCAGGCCCCACACTCCTACAGAGATATCTTT